ATATGGACGGATTAGGCTTTCAAACCAACTATATCTCAATTGTAATTATTTAACATGAGCTCTGTTAAGTCGTTAACAGAGGTATGTTAACAGAAATGGTAGGTGTCTTTACTAGTTAAATTCGAATTTATCTTCACACCCTTGAATTTAATTATATCCAGCACGTAGGGTGTATGGGATTTGTGAAATATTAAGAGCGCATGAAATAGTCATTAGGCATCGGATGAAATATTTAATAACCTGGTCTCTCTCTCTTTCTCTGCGTGGTCTTTTCTTTTCATCGCAAGATTAGATTGAAAAATTAGAACAATTCGAAATACCGGCTAAGCGTATCCGACGGACAGGCAAGGTTAAATCGGTTCAGAAAATGACATTCAATCTATGGGTGCAGTAAAAGGTGGGTCTATCTCTCTCGACTCTTTCTGTGTATTGCACACATCCGCACAAACTTCATATACCCAAGTACAACATTATAAACTAGTGGCCGTCGTCTGTGTTGCATCTACCGCAGACGAAATAGTAGATTTGCTACAGGTTTCTAATGCTTAAAAATACTCATGACATCCTCTACAAATTACATATATGCTTGAATAGCGCGGACGATTTAGGCATGAGCATCTGGCGGTGGTTTGCTATTGCGCTTAAAACTATCAAATCGTAGCTAGAAACTCAAAATTAGTGTAAAATTTCTTTTTTTTTCATTGCGTATACAAATATTTACAAATTTAATTTATCTCCTTTGAATCAGCGGGTGGTATGTGCAAAGCCATAGCTCTATTTAGAATTTTTCTACAGTTCGGTCTTATATTTTTTGTTTTATCAAAGTTCCACAGATTGAGTGTGAAAAACAACTAAATCAGTTCATTGGGTTTTCATTTATAATTCTCAAAACCACAGAAACGACTTATAAATATGCATAAGTACAAAATCTATAGTAGCCTACCATTAAATACCCTACGCCACGCCACAAGTATTCACATATCGACTCTTTCACATAAGGCTTTTTGCAGGAAGTGCTCGAAAAAGTCGTTCAATCCGAGCCATTTTCATTAGCCGTCGTCCTTGAGCCAAAACACGCCAATGTATCAAATTTCATCGAAATATATCAAAAATTGCGATCTGCAGTTTGAAAACAAAAAATAAGACGGACGGACAGACATGCTTAAATATAATACAGCTTTATAGTTATGAATAACTTGCGAAAAAATTGATTTTCAATCATCACAAATTACATCCGTTTATATTTCTCGTCATAATTAATATACAGATATGTAAAACATGCATTTGTTAAACATCCCATGTAAATATTTAATTATCGTTACAGAATTATTGGATGGAAATTTTGAAAACTTTCTTTCCTCCAATATATCTAACACCTATGACCATGAGTCTCAATAAGTTCGGCTCAAATTGAATATACTTTTGCTGTTATTTTTATTTAAAACTAAATTAACATAAATTAAATTTCGTCACTTACCTGTAAGTCGACAATGTTCGCTAAAGTTTCTTTGCCACCTAAAGAGATGTCGTGATAACCCACTGGGGGACTTTTATCGGGAAAATGACTGACGACGGTGACTTCGTGACCGCGTTCCGCCAAACTTCTCATAATGGGATGGAAAAAGTGAAAATGACTTATACCGGGATGCGGAAATAAACCTAAGATTTTTAAATTGTGACGACGAGCCGCCACAAATGATGTTAAAATCAAAAGCGCAGTTATATAAAACCACGCAAACCGCAAACCCGTCATTTTTACTAGAATGCACCGACAATCGTTGAAAAGTAAGAAATCAGCAATTTTAGGCAATACACATATACTTGGCCCTATAATAACATAAATTAAAAGTAAACATTTTACATTTATAAAAAGCAAGAAAATTACATTCGGCTGCGATCGAATCTTTTATACCCATCACGGTTATCTTAAAACAGGGTAAATAAAAGAAAGCGAAAGAAATTAGTTTCCTTACTGTATAGTAACGGATGGGCGGAGCCGTTTTCTTCTATTTTTGTGGAATGAAAGGAGAAATTTATATCAAGTCTTTGATGCAGCTTTTGAATAAGGGACAAAAGACAAGGGAAGCAAAGGTGTTCTAAGCCTTAGTTGCATTGTAGGCGGGTCTTCTGACCGCTTTGCGAAATACCTTTTGCTACATTTTTATACCCATCACCGCAGTATGTAAGCATCCGCAAAGTATGTATATTCTTGATCAGCATAAAATTCTAAATCGATTTGAGTACGTCTGTCTGTCTGTTGTAAACATTCTCCTGGCCGCAAAAATTAAGCTATCGACTCTAAATGTGGCAGGAACCCTGCAACTTCTCGCATGCACATTGTTATTGAAAATGGGCCATCTCGGGCGAAACACAAGCCCACTGTGCCATGTAAGCTGAGAACATCTGTTTTTCACGAGGAATGCAGCAATGGTTTTTTGCTCATTGCTAACAAACTATGGCAAGTAAATGTACAAAAATTTGAAAGCATTACCTATGGGCGACCCTGTAGCATTTGTGTATAAAACTGGGAAAAATTGACGCCTACCTAATATTACAGTGCATCAAAATTTAGTTGATTTTTCAATACCTTTATAATGCGCAGGAACAAGCTACAAAAACTCCATAATGTATGCAAATTCTTGGCCAGTTTCAACTTTTGACTGCACCTAAACCTGTCCGCCTGTTTGTGTGTCCATCTGTATGTTTGCGCGACGTTGTAGTATTTGTGGTGAAAATCAAGATATCGCCTACAAATCTTCAAGAGAATTTTGAATTGACCTAAACTTTTCAAAGGTTATGCCTACAACGCCCACATGCCTCTACAATGAAAACTTTTATTTTGAAAATAGAAAAACTCAGCTGTGCCCACTCTATATTATAGGGAATGAGAATTTTATTCTTTTCCTTTTGTCCTTTTTTGGGGTAAACGGTGATGGGTATAAAAAGTTCGGTCCCGACCGAATTTAATTTTGTTACTTGTTTTTTCCTATGATCAGTCACTCATGGGATGCCTTCTATCAGGAAGGGTAATGTGAAGAGAGCGGTGAAGAAGGGGAGAAGTGTTTGGGAAAGTTCAACTTGAAAATGGAGACATTACGCACGATGGGAAAAAGCACTGCTGATAGGTTGTTCCAAAGGCGAGCAGTAGTAGGGTTTAGAGTGACGAATCTCTCTAGTGCGTTGCGCGGTATGCAAGTAAAGAGAAGACAAGTAGTCTTGCTGGTCAACTAATCTTTTTTGTCTCTGTAGAACGCTTGCCCTGAACACAAGTACATTTCATGATGTCTCTGAGCTTCCTTCTGGGTATTGCAGACGATTTGACGAAATCAATATACTCTTCATCTTCCGGTGATGGGTATAAAAAGGTGCTTAAGCAAATATCGCACTAAACGCATGTCATGCATGTCGTAACGTTTAACTCGACGACAATTTCATGTCAAGTAAGCAATTAATGTAATGATTCGCAGAAATTTTTATTAAAAAAAAACCAAAAATAATTGAACTTTTTTTCGGCTTTAAAGCGAAAAATTAAAAATGCCGCTAACGTGAGAAGGAGATCGAAAACACTTTGGAACAGGTTCTTATGTTTTTTTTCTCTTAATTATTATAATTTACAATTTTCAAATTTTCTATATTCACCGCAATTAGCCAAGTAAATGGTTAGAAACGAATTTTAAAATCGAAGACAAATACTTCTTATCTATCTTTGAACCATTAGCATACAAACACATATCCATATAGTAGTTAGTTAGTTGGTCGGTTGGACATTACAGTCAATTCATTGAGAAGATTTATTAAAAGAAAAATGCATTGAGAAAGCAAAAGTCGCGACACTTGTTGTATGTTTTTTGTTATATTTGGTTTCTTTTTTTTTTTTTTTTTAATTTTTTTTCTTTATATCTTTTTTTTTCAAATTTAGTAGATTTCGGGTGCCGCTTTCAAAGTCACACAAACGGAGAGTGATGTGTGCGCTTGTTCTAATTTTTTATTAATTGATCGACTTATGTGTATTATATAAAGAAAAATCGAAGTGAACAATTTTTTAAAACATTTATATTGCATCACAAATTTCAATTCTTTTTTCCTTAAGCGAGAAACTTTTTTTTTTTGTTTTAATTTTAAAAAGGCTCTACATTTTCACATCGCTTACAATGACTTGTAATACACAAATGTAACTGAATTTTCAGTTAATATATTCAAAAATTAGTCGATCAACAAATTTTCTTTATTCGACATTACCGTTATGTTAAGCTGCTACCTGCTCGCAGCTCTTTAAAATGCGTACTGCTCAACTATCGCCGTACGTTTGAGACTTATTAGTACTCGGTAGCATTGAACATGAATACAAATACCAAAAAAAAAACAACAACTAAAAGTATATACGGCTGTAGACGAATCTCTGGCCACTTTTATCTCAAAAAAAAAAAAAATAAATAAATAAATAAATAAATAAATAACTGAAACGAAAATAGATGCAATTTTATTACTTTACAATATTGGGTCTCTTGTACTGCCACCCCTTGAGTATATGTTGAAATTTTACGCTTGTGTATGGATAACATTTTTTTGCTTCTAAAGACATGAGTTTTTCTCAATATATGCTCTACTGCGATATCTAAAGTTTTCCAACCCACGTCCGTGCGAGCGCGAGCATGTTCCACGCATCCTTATGAATACACAACGGGACGCGCAGACATCGATTCTCTTTATCGCAGTGATTAAGACCACACGTTATGTGCTTTATGGGAGCTCTGAAACCTCCCTCTAGGTGTTGCAAACGTTATGACGAAATGAATAGACCATCAAACATTAAAAACGTTCATGTATTCTCTTTGTGAGTTGTTCTCAGACTATTTTCATTTTCGCTACTAAATGAGTTGAGGTATATTAATATTAATAAGCCGTTTGTACTATTCAATTGCACGAATAATCAAACGTATGGGTGGATACCTTGCCTTCTTCAGGTACGTTTTTGGATTATGATATAATACGTTTGACTCTTGTTGGCAAGAATGGAGAAAGAGACATTCATTTTAAGACACATTCTGTCAAAAAAAAAAGGGAAACAATCACCGGCAACAGTCTCAAGTACTTGTAAGTTGGCAAATCTAATTAGAAAGGTACAAGAGAATTCATCTGCTTAACGGCAAAACTACCAGAGTCGATAAATTGGCGGTTGCTTTTAAAGCGTACAATTCGTTGCGGAATTTTTGGTGATTTTCAGTGAAATCAGAAGATCTTTAAACACTCATATTCAATTTTCTCTTATCTGTCTTAGTTCCAAAAACATCTAAGCGATGTACACATTCCTAGAAAAAAACTGCGAATTGAACTTTTTTTTATTTATTAAAATGATCGAAATCTCAAAAACTTAAATCTCAAGTTAAGATCTGCATTTTTGATTCGATTTAAAAGACAGTCTTCAAAAATGAACCTGATTCTCTCGCAAGCGCGAAGATAATAACTAAAACATTGAAATATCTTCGATAAAAACTAGAAATTTCATCAAACTTTACCTTTACCTTTGATCATAGCTACAGTGCGGGCTCAGTTGGTAACGATGCAACATATCAATTGGACACACACCCCCCAGGTTACGGTGACTACCTTTTTAGCTCTTTCTCGTTGCTCATCTCTTGCTTCTTATCAGAATGGGTCCCGATATTAACAATTGAAATAAGTATAGCTCGCTCTGCGACCAGGGGTGAGAAGATAGTTCATTTCGTAAAAGCTTTGTTTTATTATAAACACTTCCTACAGAAAGTATTTTTTCTTTTAATTTTTGATTGCATGCATTTTCCAACTATGGTAACTTCTTTATTGCAGAATTGTTTACCATGAGTAATTTGCTTCACTTTAACACGCTTACAATATTCGTAGCAAACCAACTATTAACCAACTGTTTTCCGCATTTAGGGTTTATCGTTGCTATTAATTCCGATTAGCTTTGAAGATTTTCGGATATTCTTTATATGCCAGCATTTCATTATTCAGTTTTCATTTCTCTTCATGAAATTTCATTTATCAAAAAGTGTAAATGTTTAAAATATCACGGAACCATCAACTTTTTTGTAGATCTTGTTGTACAAATGAATTTGCTGAGATCGCACCTATAACGATGAAACGGAAAAAAAAAATTCTGAAAAAGAGAATTATTATACCCTACATCACTTGGGGCATATATAAGGGCATATTAAGTTTGTGCAGATGCATGCAACATCCAGGAGGAAAGAGATGAGTTACATCCACTTTTTTAATATACCGATCAATTTAGAATCGACTTTCTGAAACGATTTACTCACATCTGTTTGTTTGTCCGTTTTCTTATCTTGTGTTCAATCTGCAGTTAGAAAATTTTTGCATTATTTCGGTACATTGACGTTTTTTAGGTCAACGGCAAAGAAACATTAGCGAACACTGTCGATTTACAGGTAAGTGACGAAATTTAATTTATGTTAATATAGTTTTAAATAAAAATAACAGTAAAAGTATATTCAATTTAAGCCGAACTTATTGAGATTCATGGTCATAGGTGTTAGATATATTGGAGGAAAGAAAGTTTTCAAAATTTCCATCCAATAATTCTGTAACGATAATTAAATATTTATATGGGATGTTTAACAAATACGTGTTTTACACGTCTGTATATTAATTATGACGAGAAATATAAACGAATATATTTTATGATGCTTTAAAAACAATTTTTTCGCAAATTATTAATAAAGATAAAGCTATATTAAATGCAAGCATGTCTGTCCGTCCGTCTTATTTCCTGCTTTCAAATTACAGATTGCAATTTTCGACATATTTTGATGAAATTTGGTAGACCGGCGTGTTTTGGCTCAAGGACGACGGCTAATGAAAATGGTTCCGATTGAATGACTCTTGCGATCCCTTCCTTAAGCTTAATTTCGAGCGGTAGCCCGTTTTTAATTGTTTTACTTATCGAAATGTTTAGATTTAGTTCCCAAATTATCCAACTATTTCTGCCTAAAATTATTCATAGATTTTCATTTTCTGTGACGCCGGCACTTGAACATTGCTGAAAGCGTCTTGCATGGTTTAAAATATTTCCCTATTATAATAAAATTTTCGATGGATACTCGAATAACACTGTGTACATATATCAGTCAACATACATATCATACATATACATATGCATATACATATATATTTATATGTGATATATCATATCATGCCTATGAGGCAAATCAGAACTTCAATTCAAAAATCCTATGCTAGCAAAAATTTCTAACTTTTGTATATTAATCTTCGCTTTATTCAATCAAATATAACAAAAATCGAGTCCTGACCATCACACATTGAAGTTATCTCTCACAAAGCAATATTTACTCCTTCCTTGTCTTGCTTCTACATATCTTTCTCGATAAAGGATTAATAATTTTCGGAAGGAAGATTAAAAATTTAAAAAAAAATTGTCGCATGGCCATCAAATTGTAAACTAATAATCTCCGCAAAAATCCGACTATTTTAAAAAGATTTCTTTCTGTCATTTACACTCAGGAACAAAACTACATTTTCTGGATAAGAGCATATGTCTAAAAGAAACGTTTTGAAAAGAACGATGAGCACTCCATTTGATACAATTTCAATACGTTCGGTTTAAGGAACTCAGCGCAAATATTAGAGACATTGGTTGGCGAGGTGTGTAGAGGCGTTGACTTTTTTTACCTGCTAATAAGTTTCTCGGACAAGACAAGGCGCTTTCTATTAGAGATTATGACTATCGAAGTCCGTTAAACAAGTTCAGAAAGTTATTGGAGCAATAAACTGTTATTACGTATACACCCACAAGTTAACAAGACATACAATTATAAACAATGGTATCAAATCCAATTACAAGAACTTATACGCAGATACACGCTCAACTTTTAGTATGTGAGACAAATAGAAAAAAAGTGATGTACATACAAATGCGTAAGAAAGCCATATTTGGCTGTGGTCGTATCTTCAACACTCATCGATTCTATCTTAATGAAAGCTCAAAGAAAATGAAATTCCAATACTCCGTAATATTGGAAGCGCTTTTTACGTATTAACTATTTGCAGTTTGATAAATAAGCGAGGCAAGAGATAGATCCAAGTTTCTCTCAAAGTAGAGCAGATAGTTTTAACTGCTTGTGATTATCTTGCTTTAAAGCATGCATTTATTTCTTTTGGATAATTTCCATAATTAGTATAATAATAATAACACGTTCCGAGCCATGTGATAAGCTCAGGGAGCACGCTTTTATGCGTTCACTATTTGCAGTTTGTTAAACAAATGAGGCAAGAATAGATTTTATGTAGGTGCAGCCTTAGTTAAAAAGCATAGCGAAATTTGCTGCTTGACATACACTGGTTATTCTTATTTAATTAGTTAAACCGAATCTTACCGATATACTTAAATTTGGCAACACTAACGCTATGTGATCTCTGATGTGGCTGGGTGAGCAAATAGGGAATTATTGCAAAAACAAAATTTTTGTTTAAGTAAACCAAAAAGTTAGTTAAAAATTCTATTAGGCAGTATTAAACGAAAGCGAATAAAAATAAAAAATAAATAAACGATGCAAAATGTGGACACTAACAAAAACAACGAATTTATACTTAATGCTCATAGTAGAAATGTTTTTCATTTTACCGACCTTTGCGTTATCAGACAAACGTTTGTGTGCAGATGAAAAATGTTCTAGTAAGTGCAAAAAAGTCAATATGTCGTAAAAAACCAACATGAATAATATTTTGGAAACAACTTTTCGCAGGTGTTATTTCTGTGGGCAGGGGCACAATTACTTATCGAGCTGGAAAAAAGGGCATGGTGTCATTTCAAATTAATGCCGCTATACGTATCAAATCGAAAAGTGCTGGAAGTGATATGTCATTGTGGGGTGTCGAAGTAAATGGCCGTGAAGGCTTTGCCCCGAAACAGTACATTAAAGAGACTAAAGTGTTTATAAAAGAAAAAGATCTGAAACATGTGGTGAGTGTAATAACACCAAATGATTCCACAAGCGATGTTATTAAGCTCAATACTACAAGTGGGACAAAAGAAAATGACGTTGTCCGAATAGTACCAGCTGAAGTTTCTGCACCCATAATTGAAACCGAAGAAGCAGTTATTCAGACACTTAATGAAACTACTACTAATGCCACAACAATTTTAACGGCAATTCCAGAAGAAGCAAAAATACCTTCCTTAGGAGAAAATCAGGAGAGCTTCAGGCCTAGTGAAGAAGTTCACGAAGAAGAAGAAGACGACGACGACGACGACGAATTTGTTGAAGATTACGAAGATGATGAAGAAAATGAAATTATTGATGAGGAAGATGAAAACCTCGAATCCGAAAATCCTCAACCCACGCGCAGAAAAGTTTTAAATGTTGATAGAGGAGAAGTAGAGGAAAATGGTAATCGTGCATCTGCGGAGGCAGCTTTAAAAGAAGATGATGATACCAGAAGTAGTGAAATCGTCTCAACAATGCTACCTTTAACAAAAAATGACCAAAATATAAATAATATAAAGTCTTCTCCGCTGCCTTTTGATGATGCCAAGACTCCTGAAGGTCATAAAAATAGTGAAAGTGCCAGGGACAGTCAAGAAAAATTTTTCGGAACCCAACGTTCAGGAAATTCTTCAATAATTGCTTCACATGAGCAAGATTCGTTTGTTACGCAGTCGCTAGATAATACAAATGTGCCTAACGAAGATAAACTTTATCCTACTAATACAGTTCCTAGAAATGAATCAAGCAAAAGCCAGGAAAGGAGAATCACAAACTCTTTTAATTCTAATGAAGTAATAGAAATGTCGTCTGAAGCCGATCTTGTTTCAAGCGACGGGACCATCCCTACCGAAGCGGTAATAGTTTCTTCTGAGAATGAAACCGGTGGAAAGAAGATTGATACAAATAATAGTAAAGACCGAGTAGACCCCTTATATGAAGAGCAGCCAACAACAACTGTCGGACAATCAGCAATAAAGAAAGTTCCAGATACTGCCGCGGAAGTATCCTTGGAAAAAACAGTACAAAATGAAGAACTGATACGTCTAATGGCGAAAGTCGAAAGAGAATCTTCTGCTAGCGCTAATAAGGAACTAGAAGTGAATAGCCAAATTTTTGTAAAAAAAGATTCTAATGATTCTCATGAGAAAATCGCAACTGCGGAAACGCCATACCATGGGCATCAAGACGTGCCCACTCCGACTTTGCCCGTAATTGATAATAGTGCGATTGAATTCTATGCAGAATCTACTACGCCATTGTCCTTAACAGATAGTAGCCCCACTGAAATTTATACAGAGTCCACAACACCATTACTCTTAGTCGATAGTTCTGAAGTCTATGTGGAAAACTCTTCACCCTTACCACCTTCTTACCAAGCTGATAGCAGTTCTAATGAAATCTATGCCGCTTCAACCACGCCATCGCCCTTTGCTGATAGCAGGCCTACCGAAATCTATTTCGAAAAGGCTACGTCTTTACCCTTAGCTGATAGCAGCGTCAATGAGATAGTTGGCGAAGGTTATGAATATACCACAGTAACAGAACAAAATGCTGAAGCTGTATCAATAAGAGATCTACCCGCTGAGGCTCCTCAAATCTCCAGCGCAGGAGAAAAAAACGATTTTGTTTCGGAAGTAAAGCCACCCGAACTTACCCAGGAACCAACCGCACTGCCCTCAAAACCTACGTCTATAGAAAAGCCTTCAAACGAAGCAAAAGAGAAGGGTCTATTTGCTACTATCTTAAGCACGGTCAACAATATGTTAGTCGGCGACAAAAGGCATTTAAATCAGGATAGTGCAGGCAAGGATGATGAATTAGATAAAATACTATATCCAGAAAAAGATGCCATTGAATTCAAGAAACATGGCGTTGAACATGAAGGTACTATATTTGCAATTCTCTCAATTATTGAACTAATTTTTTTTTTTGGTTTTCTAATTTAAGGCGATCAACAATATTGCGAAAAATTGGGACCGAACGATTGTCCCCGTTCTGAAATTCAAAACGATGCGCATAACCAACATTCGAGTGAGCAATGCGCATGCTCCAATACAAGTCTGTTTTCCTCTAATGTCACCTTTGACAATTTCATTGATATTTTGCTATCCAAAATATTAGAAATGAGTGAACTTTTGGCTTGCCTGATAATAGCAGCTGCTGCTACGCTTTTCTTTATTTTTGGCTATTATTGCTTTTGCAATAACAGTCGTGAAGGTGCTTTGCTCTCGAAGCTTAATCAATTAGAAAGTAGCTTATTGGCTTCGCATAAAGAGAATGCTATATTGAAATTCAATCTCATAGCTGTACGTCAAAAGTTGGCCAGCGTTGACGATAATACCTTTGGATCAAATAATGAGGTAATTTCTCTGCAAAAAAAACTGAAAGAAGAGACGGCTGAAAAGGCCCGCTTGCAAGAGCTAGTTTTTAGCCTGCAAAAGGAATTGGAAAATGCGGCTGACGATGGTATAGAGCTTAACAAAATTGTGGCTGAACTATTGAGCAATCAAACGGGTGATGAATCTATTATAAGCAGTGTAGAAGCTTTGCAAGGACAACTTAACGATCAACAAAGCAAGTTTCCAAATACAATATTGTAGCCTCTTTTTCTCATATTTTTTCTCTCTTTCATGCAGATACAATTTTGGATATAAATACTCGCTTAGCAGAGAAGAGTCGTGAAAATAGTGAATTGCAATTGCTGATTGCTGAGCAGAATGCTCGTTACGAGTCTCAAATAGAAAATATACAACGTGATAATGATGAATTGGAAGCAGAAAAGGGAAGTTTGGTTACACGTTTAGAAGAGCTTAAAAGTGAATTCGATCGCGACATAAATGCAGCTCTGGATGGTAAGAATTTTGAGATTAAACGCCTACAGGAAGAAATTCTTGAATTAAGTAATCAACTGGAGGCTGAGCATACCAAATGGCAGACCAGCTTAGCCAAAGTGGAAGTAAGTATAAGTTTTTAAAGAAATTACATTATATTTTTATATTTGCATACTTTGCAGGCATTACAAGAATGTCTTAAGAGTGTTAAGCATGACCCAAAACTAATAGCCCATGTTGTCGATGTCGCTAACGTAAGAGCTGAAGTTTTTGATGCCCAAAAGAAGTATACTACACTGAAAGAACGTTTTGATGTGGAAACTGTAAGTTTCGAATTATTCTACTCCTATTATTTTTGTTCTCATTAATGAAAGAAATATCACTTGGGTGGCTGCATTTATAAAAAGCGGAAATATATGTGAATGATGCCCTAAATCACAAGTAATTTTTATGTACATCTATCATCTCTTGTTGGAACTTAATTGAAATCGCGGATGTCTGGGATTCGTTTAGAAGAATTTACCAGAATTTTATTCACCTAATAATTTTTCCGTAATATTTTATTTCAAGGATGGTCGTAAATTGGCTGAAAATCAACTGGAAATTGCTTCTTCTGAGCTAGCAAGACTTAAGCAGGACTTCAATCAAGCAGAAAAGGATAAATTGGAGGCGCAAACACGTTTGGAAGTGCTTTCCAATTATTTTAAAGAGAAAGAAACCCAGTTACAGAAGTACGTTTGTTATATTTCGGGTGATTTCTATATTTATATGTGCACATCTTAATATATATTTTATGTATACTTATAGGGAACTCAGTTTAAAGGAGGCCATGTGGTTAAAACAACAGGGTGAAACTACTACTACTGTAGATCGTTTGACTGCCATGCAAGATGAAATACAATCATTGAAGTAAAAATTTTTCGATTCATTTTTGTTGTTTGTTTAATATTGTAATTGTTTAGATCCCAAAACGATGCTCTACGTGCAGAAATGGAAGCACAAATAGCAGCTCATAAAGCTCAGATTGGTACATTGGAAAATCGAGCACATGAAACATGGCTGGCCGCACGTCAGGCGGATCGTCGGTACGAAGAATCTAGAGCCGAAGCCGCTATCCTGAGACGCAAATTAACTGCCTTGGCCGGAGGAAATAAAGATGAAATCAATAGTAAGCGTTTTAATAAATTAATACATCTAGAAAAAAGGGAATAGACCTAAATTCCCTTTTTACTGGAGTTTTTCCGCCCAGTTTACCTATATTGGTTTGTGGAATGTTTTTTTGACACGAAGAGAAAATTTGTAAAAAAAAAAAATTTTGAAGTTTATAAAATCAAGTAATTGCGCAATTATGGACCATTGTCCACGTTTATCATCTTTTGCCATGCTCGTAAATATTGCTTTTCACAAGTTTAATCGATTTGAAGTTTTCTAAAATTGTTTAAGAGAGCTGAGACAGGCTGGATTAAGGTAGAAGGGGGAGATTTATTAAATAAATTTAATGAAACTTTTCTTAGGATCAAATGTCGCTTCCACAGGTGTTGGAGATGAAATAGTAGGTGCACCTTCCCCATTGCATATGGAGGCACCCACTTTTCCTTTAATGGGCCGTTTGCCGCCACCGCCATTTTTGCCCCCACCATTTATGGGTCCACCGCCACCCTTTATGCGCTTGCCACCACCACCGTTTGTGCCGCCTGGTGAAATGCGTGAAATGCGTCCAGCGCCATTGGGACGCATCATGTCACCGCCTCCTCCGCATTCGGTACGCTTTTCACCTCATCATGTAGATTATGAAGACTATGTGGATTATGAGCATGAAAATAATTGGCCACGTCATCCTTACTCTCCGCCACCACGCACATATCGCTCACTATCACCGACCGATAGTCGTTACAATTATGTAGGCCCTGAACGCGATTTAATTTCTACTTATGATACTGAAACGGATTTTAGTCGTCCACCCAGTCCTGAAGAAGCGCGAAAATTGCGAAGCGGACATGCAGCTAACGGATCACGAAACGGCAATTGTAATCTTAAAAAATCCTCAGTTAAAAAAGGTTAGTTAGTTATGGAAATAATGCAAGTTTGTGTATGAAGTTCATTTAAAACCACCCTTTTGCAGGTATAATAAGTTCTGAGTCGGACAATTCAAATAACTCTTCATCGCAACAAAGCAAATCAAAGAATGGTGCTGTCAAATCTATAGTTTGATTTCAATTAGTTCGATTTAATCAATCAATGAAAAAAAGAAAAACGACTAAAACCTAGTAATAATTCCATAACGATGCATTAAGCTCGAGTGTTTTTTGGCGTCCTTAAGGTCGTTAAGTTTGTTATATATATATGTAACTTAATTCTGATATTAATAACTAATCATTAAAATGAGATAATGCCAAAAAAGAAAGGAAAATATAAATACATTACCCGAATAATAGCGGAGAGTGGAGAAGTTCAAGCAGAAATGAAAGAGCAAGATATTTTCAATTTTATTGTAGATGAAAAGAAATTAGCAACAAATCACTTAAACAAAATTTTTGTTACACCTTACAATTTACACTCATTCAAAATTACAAAATTACAAAATTACAGATTTACAATTAACCTAAAAACAGCGTGCATTCCAAAAATTATAATCACACGTTCCAAACTGCGTAACGTCGTTTTGCAAGCTCAGGCTAAATTATTCAGGAATATGAAAATGAAAAAATTTTGTTACATCAATGGTAAGTTTCCGTTTTGATAATTTTATTTTAAAAGCGTTTTAAACGTAGTTCATTGAAATAAATATTGAATATTCATCTTGCTTGTTGCTTGTATTGTTGGAGCAATGTTATCCTTATAATTTTTTATTTATTTAAAAAAAAAAATAAAAAATTAATGAAAATATTTTACCGTTCAAAATCCATCCCACATTGACCGATAATTTGCAGAAGAAAGTTCTTTATTTCAATACATCAATATGAAGGAGTGCAAAAGAAAAATAATTTGTTTTTATATTCAAGAATCTAAGTGATGGTAGAAAAGTCTAATGAACTGTACAACAAAAGAGGAATTGCCTGCGTAAGTAATCGACGGGAGAATCGTTGAAATCAAAGTGGGTTGGGGACTATACTTTCAATACTAATACTAAGAATAATAATTGTACTAAATCGAAAATATAAATATATATATGTTATAGTTCTATGCGAGTAAAGCTAAACGAATATGTAAAAATTTTGTAGGGAATGCTACTTTCTCATGATAGATCTAACTTGATGCGAAGAGGGAAAACCAGTCAATATTCCAATATTTTAGTTTAACTTTAGATTTTCTTTTTCTTTTCGCTTCAGTGAATTTTTATAATTACACTGCATATATAACATATAGGAAAGTGCGTAAGCGATAGGGTCATTTTGCGAAGCATATCAAACAAAGTCCATCCGTCCTTGTCGGATTTACTCATAAAATTTTATCATTATGCACAAGTGTATTTTTCACAGTTATCTATTTTATCAAGTCGTTTCATCACAACCTAATTTCATATAACACATACTCCATGTTTGAGGAGTACATTAGTATATCGCTAAAGACGTCGGCGCAATTAACTGTTTAATTTCTACAACCTTAACGTATTTAGCAGAACTTTCAAAAGTTTTGAAAATCTATAAATTCATTCTTTTGCAAATTGCACGGACTAGACGGGGTAGAAGATGTTTTGACCAATCTTGAACAACCACGGTCTTTACACAAAAATTGTAAATTACTTTGCTAGTTAAAGTCGAGGCACTCGATTTTTGAGACTCTGCCTGTTCCAGTGATAGAAAACGGACGTACAGACGTCCTAGAATCAATGAAAAATAAGAATACCAAGAATGATGGTGAAAAGACTTATCCGTGGAGTCACTACATTAGGCTCAAAGTTTATCAATACTAGATTGACATCAAATTGGTTTCATACTAAAATTTTATAGTGAAGCTTATAGCATCTTTGCTTTGTGGTCGACTTTAATCAATTGTATCGTCAGACGTTAGGTTTTTCTTGATTTTGTTTTAGAGAGAAAATTCTTGTTCGTGGGAAGGGAGCCAAGTGCCATGAAAACTGGTGTTTGTTGCCGTAACATCATTTCGTTTTTAAAAAATTATTAACAACATTTTTTAATTAGTTGCAATTGGTTCAGTCAGGATTTTATGTCAACGAGGCAGCATTAGTCTTAAAATAAATTTTTATTGTAGCTAACAAAAAATTCAAAACGTAAAAGAAATCGGTTAGAATTTTTAAGAGTAAGTCTTGAGAATCGTTTGGGATTTTGAAGTTTTCAAGGTCGTTAAACGTAGTTGCAAAAATTGAAATAATTTCCCAATTGTATAATATTTGCCTTAATTTTTTAACAACTATTGTAGGCACTGGCCGTCGGATGTTTATATCTGAGCCGTTCCATAGTTATTTGGACCTGAACTAGACAGTGCATTAAACCATGAGATTTGTACTTTCCTTAATGGAAGAATAATTTAATATCAAATTCTTCTTCTTTTTTTTAGTCATGATTGTAACTATAATTTAAAAAACCCTAATTGTGCGCTTACGTAGCCCAGGGCATTAAGAGTCTAAATGCGGAATAATTCAAGCAAATCAAGAAATCGCTATATTCGTATATACATACTTCAGTAGACGGATGACGCGCCATTAAAAATATATATTTCGTATTAGTTTTATTGTGTAGAAAAACAATTATGAATTACACACACATTCATAAATGTGCAAGTGCATTGCAGGAGAAAAAAGTGAGCATGATAGCTTGCAATTTAAGGAATTTTCCCTCTTCGATATTTTTCTTTACGTGTCCTGCCAAGATTTTTCGTAATTATTGAGTCAAAGGGCGCGTCAGAAGCTTGGAAAAATAATAAGTTGAAATAGGGATCGTGAAAAGGTAAGCAATTTTTCGCTTTTGAGTTGAAATGGTGAAACACGTATTCAAGTATAATATTGAAAAGGAAAAGTAATCATATTTCACCTTTTCGAAGAATTTCAACTTTCTCGGTTTACTAAATTCGAGCGGCGTTTCTGTTCCCTTATTCATCGTTTGGATTTTCATTTCCGCTTCACTTTGCGTTGCCGTTGAACTACAAATACAAAGTTGTCCTGTTGTCGAATTAACATTACTTATGAAAACTTTCGCTTACATTTTCACTGTAATCGATGGTTTATTTCTTAATAATCTCGTCTTTAGTAATTGCTGAGTTTTTATACTTCTGCGCCATATTCTAAATTCTCGTTTCTTGCTACATTACGGATATGAATAATTTTAATCAGTTTGAAATTAATGATCATTATTTACTTACCTCCATGCACGCCCTATTGTTACTTGCTTATTAAGTAACGCCGTATCCGATAGTTCGTTTAATAGTTGCGAGTTAGTATGAAGCATATGATTTTGATTTAAGACTAATTCGCCAATTTCGCTTAGCATGTAGATAACAGCTTCTTTTTCGCATGATACATGTCTACAACATTCAGAAATAGCATTGAGTGGTCGTATATCGTTTGGATCGTATACGTTGGCTGAGCATTGGGTTTCGAAATTTCTGAAATTTTCTTGCCATACTTGCGGAGTTGAATTGTTTAGGTGAATTTCATCGGTTTGTGCAGCCGATTCGTTTGTTCTTGGTTGGCATTGAGTGCTCTGTGGTTGAGTACTTCTTTCTGTTTGACTTCCAGTTGAGAAAGTCTTGATGAAATGATGTGCAGAAGAAAATCTAGCCGACGCTATAGTCTGCTGCGACGAATCGCTTAATTGAATTTGCCGTAATCGTGGGGGGATTTTATATACACCGATAGTTTGACATTCTTTACTCGGTTTTACGGCTGAACTTTTTTCTCTAGTACCTGAAATGGTTCTCCTAATTGGGCAATCGCCTGAACATTGTATTTGCACCAAATTTGGGGGATTTTCACACATCCATTTTTGATATTTTTTTTTATAACAAACCATCAGACGTCTTCTCCGTTTCAAGCGTTGACGGAATGTCCAATGTACCTTCGATACTCTTTTCACACCAATCACACTCAAATATTTGCCTTTTATCTCGTATTTAATGATAAAACTTGACCGTTCAAGGACAACATTAGGTGGGTAACGTCAAAGGTGGAAAAAGAATTTTTTGCAAATACTTACCTAAATTTACCAAAATGCACTCGTCGTGAGCCGCTTATAACCTTTTTCTCGCTTACAGATTGAAGAAGTAGAGACTTAATATCCATCAGAATTTTTCTTTAGTTTTATTTTGCGCTACAACAAATTTTGTCTTTTAATAAACGAACAACTCTCAAAGCTTACAATAAAAAATTCTACAAACTGAAAGAAAGACAGAAAGTTTTTAAAAATTTTTGTTAACATTTTCAAAACTAAGTAGAAATGAAGTGTTGCTAAGTCATGCGAGTGATTGACGATCAACATGCTTAAAAGATTTGTTATTAGCTTAGTCCATCCTAACTCAATATCCCAAAAAGAACAAACGAAAACAAATTAATTACCAGTGTGGCTTTTGTTGGGAAATTTTCGCTGGTCAGTCAATTGCGTGCGCAAAACTTTCATAGGACCAAATGTATAAAAATGTGTTCTGAAGATGTTTAATCATTCTTTTGCCATCAACACTTGCAACAACACGGCATTGTGCAAACAGCAGCCGGAAAAAGTTTTTTCGCGTCTTCTCGGTGTCAGTGGAAAAAAATGATGGAAAACAGACAAGAATTTAAAGAATGGGGAAAAACTTAAATTTAAAAAAGGACAATAAAGGGGAAAAAAGTACGAAAAAAAAAGAAATTTTTGAAAATTTTTTTACGAAGATATACATATTAACTTTGATCGGCCGGATTTTTGGCAAGTGTTCCCCATGATAAGAACTAAAACGACATCAGCCTGCCTCTCTGTTGAGACATAACAAGAAATCGAGGATGGTTGGGGATGAAGTTGATTTATCATTCAAAGAAGGAGCTAAAGCTAATAATTTAACTGTGCTTAGAAATCAGTTAGTTACTAAGCCGTCTGACTTGGATGCCAAAGTCATTTCAAACCGCGATATCAATTTGTATGACTACATGGCGCAATGCAATTTCTTAGTTTTTGTTGAAATCTGTGAAAAGCCCAAAGTTAAGCGTATGGTATTCAAAAACTAAAGGTGGTTAACAGGGGCAGAGCTCTGTTAAGGCTAACAACTTAAATAAAAAAACAATAATTTTAATAAAAAAAATGTAAAAGCGTATATTCCGAGATCTTTCACGGAAAAGTTCGGAGCTATTCGCAACGTCCTCATTGAATGTGATGTAGACGAGATAATCGAAAAAGCTGTGTCGGATATTTCTATTCAGTCTGCTGTTAGGTTGCGAAGAGGAAGTCAACAACCAAGACGAGTTTATTCCCACAACGAGTATTAAAATTGGTTTAAAAGGAAATCCGCTGGGATTCCGTTTTTATTTAAAATAAAATCTCGTTTTTACAATATAATATTCAAAGTGTTCGATGTAACTTATCATTTTTGGATTTTTACTTGAACTCGAATAATATTGATTTCTGCATCTTGAGTCAAGTTTTTCTGAAGAATGACACTTTTTTTAAAGTTATAGTTTCCAATTATACTTCAGCCATCAAATGCAGGGATAACGGCTATGGTGGTCTTAGTGTACTAGTTGAGAAAGGCGTCGATTTCAGATGTATTCGCTACAATTTTGCTATTGAAATTCTCATCATCATAACTATGAATCTTAAACCGAATCTTTTCATAGCATAATGCTACTTTCCGCCCAGCCTTGATGTACAGACTTTTCGTGATGAGATTTAGAGATTATGTGAGCTTTTTGATGGTGAACAAAATGTGATTCTAGCTGACCTTGTTCAAAAAAAAGAAGAAAACAAGTGAAAATACTATAGTTGGATGTGAATTTCCCTATGAAATTCCCTACATTGCTTTATTTAATACAGCCACTCATGTAACGACTTTTCAAAATAAGCTTTTATGTATGGGGAACAGTCGAAAACGTGAGGCGAACCATTTTCAATACCGTACGTATTCAAGTCAAGACAGGTCGGTGTACAAAATTTCATCAAAATGTCTCGCGATGCACAGGATAAACAAATGTGACGTATTTACCACAGTCAAGGTATGTTTAGTAAGGTAATTCATTATATTGGGATCAGCCCCGATCCGAGTCTGCTCGGCAGACGCCCAACAATATTCCTTCTTACCGTTTGTGAATCACTGTGCGATCCATTCTATCGATAGGTTAATAATCAATAAATACTCACATTTCCGCGGAGCCCTAGGGAAAATCTGAAAATGTAATTCTTCAAAAAAAATTCTTCTTTTATTTATCGATCGTTTATGTTTTTAAACATTTTATTAAACATAAAAACACGTCATTTGTAAAAAAAAATTTATTTTTCAACTTTCTAAAAATATAGGTTTTTTCATTATTTGCTTATTTACACATCCTTTCTTTATATGCGCGCCACCAACGTAGGAGTAAGAAAATAAATATTCTATAGGGCGAATAAAGGAGTCAATTATAATAAGATAATCATAGCAAAGTTCAATCCGAGTTGACGTCTGATTTACAAAATGTATTTGGACTTTAATCGACACAGGGAATCTTCAAACGTAATCGGTTATTGTAACAACAAATCAAAAAATTGGATATCTTTTTAAAATTAAAATATTATATAAGCAAATTTGTGAGGACGAACGATAGTGAAAGTTACGTGCGCCTCTATATGGCCTTTCCAATACCCATTATTTCCGAAAGTCTTTTATTAATTTTCAACGGGCCCGCCGCGACTATGTTCCCCTAAAATCTTAAAAGTACAGAAAATCGAGCTAAATTTAAGAACAATATCTTCTATGGGTCGTAGGGTATTGACGAAAACAAATTGAAATTGTTTGTTGAGGAATCTTGTTGATTTTCAAATTTGATTCGAGATTTCTATGGCAATTTTTCAAAATCTTTATGAAATTAAAATTGTTTACATGTAAATAAAGGATTTGTTATTATTTCATTTTAAATCACACAGGCCACCTGGCTAGTCTAAGATATATACTTGTGTCCTTATGTTTATATGACAGAGACTTGGGTGTTGGGGCCGATTTTTGATATTCCGGAAAAGCCGAATATAAATGCTATGCATTCAAAACGAATCTATTACGGGAGACAATTATGCCCTGGCATAATTACTCTTGCCGATGTGAAAATCAAAAAAAAAAAAACCTCTTGGATATTTCGGTCAAATGAGGGAAAAGTACTACGCATTCAAAAGTTTTTATGCACATGAGGCACCAAATTGATATAATCAATTGCACATGATGAACATTAGGGAAGAAAAGGACATTGAAACAGCTTTAAGTGCACGCGTGCGTTTTGTATATATCAATAACCGGAACGCATTCCAAGTTGATGATGTATCTGAGGCACCCTACTTCGAATGCGAAAACTAAGATAGAAAAGCAAAAGCAAAACGAGGCCATGTTAAAAAATACAGGGTTTCAAATAGGATTTCAATAGTCCTCAAGCCTACTTGGTGGGCACTTTCAACATTCGCATAAAGAGGCGAAAATGATTTTTACTTTCTTGAAAATCAATGTTTGAATATATACTAGATCTTATTCTAGATATGTACATATGTACATATAATAGGTTATGATTCATATAATAGTTTAATTAGTAAAGTGAATCATTATAATTTCAGAATGATAGGTTAACAAAAAAAAAAAAAAAAAAAAAAAAAATTAAGAATTATAAAATGTAAAAAAATCGGACAATAAAAAATCTATACTGGCATAACTGCATGCACATGCATACGTACAAAGATTTAAACAAAGCAGGATAGGATTTACTTAATCAAATATTAAAGTGATAAAAAAAAACTATACACTATACACTGTAGTGGTTAGGGTGGTAGGTTGTAGTTGCGTAATGAATGTGCGCGTATTAGGTGGCTGCTGATGTTGTTGTCGTTCTGGGTGCTGGTTCAAGACGCATAGGACTTAGTTTACGCTTCGAAGAAGACAAAATAGTAGAAGAGGGCTCGCTGTTATTATTGTTAAGAGTAGGTGAAGAAGGCTGTGAAGCCGTTGGTTTTTCATTTTGGTGATTGTTTTGCGAAATGTGATGTGCTTCTGACGATTGAATGCTATGATTGCTAGTCTCGTCTTGTGTAATTATGCGTAAACCACTGGCTGTCGAATCAGGATCGGAGGGAGCATATGAGGAACTCCTAGCGGGCGAGTGCATATCTATTGGCGGGTTATTTTCGGCTTGGTTAGGTTTATTAACATTACCGGGGCTGCTTAGAGGTAACTGCGTAACTTTACCCATAAAGGAACGTATCTCTTCAAAATAGGATTCTTCGGCAGGATTTTCACAAAAACGCCGCAAACCACCGCGCAGACGTTCATTGAGCCCTAAACCCATCGAAACAGCGTCGGCCTCGTGTTTTTTTAGATGACGATCTAAGTTAGTTTGCTGTCCAAAACATCTTTCACAAATTTCACATTTAAACGGTCGCTCCTTGTTATGTATGTTACGCACGTGACGCTGTAAATTGGAGGAAATACTAAAGGAACGTTCGCAATATTTGCACTTATAGGGTTGTTCGCCAGTATGGGTTCTTAGATGTCGGGTGAGGTTGGCTGAGCGAGGAAATACTTTGCCGCAGAATTTGCAGGTGTAACGATCCTTGCATTTATAGGGCGTACTCTGGCCTACTTGAGAATTCGAGCGGTTGACAGGGTTTCGTTTATGACGATACTGTGAAGGCTGGTTGTTCTGTGTAGCAGTAGCGGGAGCCGGCCCATTGTGATTAAGTAGCAAAGAGTCGGCTAAACTATTACGTCCTCGTGAATGATCAAAGCTCAGATCTCTTAATGGCGACTCAGGCGTTAGCGAGTTTAAAGAAGGCGTAGACGTGCCGACTGCGATAGGACCAGATGTTGACTGAGGCTTGTCTTTATTAATATTAGTATTTAAAAATGTGAAGGCATTATTAGTTGAATTGCCGCCATGAGTAGCTTGAGTTAGAAAAAATGGGTTACGGTATGGCAGAGGTATAGCTTTGGCCATTGTCTCCAGTAAAGTGGGATGTAAAGCCGAAACGGGGAATGGCAGCTTATCGACATTCTGCAGAGTCAGCGTATCCAAGTTCCCTTTACGTTCGCTTTTGGCGTTATCACGCAATACTCGCAGCATCTTCTTACTAATCAAACTGTCAAACTCTACTAAGGCAGAGTTTTGTGTTAGCAAATTATTGTTATTCAGTTCACTACCGCTATTCGTATTAGGCTTTTCACTTAAGTCGGGCACTGATTTGGAACTGGCATTTTGGCACTCAGCGTTTTGACAAGACTTTTCCCCAGGAGACTTTCGAACAGAATGTGCAGCGAATATTACCACATTGCTATTTTCATCTTCCATCATTTCGGCGGAGTTATTTGTATGGCCCTTTTCTTCTCGTTTATGCGCTAATCTAAGATCCAAGGGTTGATCGTAAGTATTACCGCTACGTCTTTTGTCCTTATTTTTCGCATCTTTCTGGCCGCCGCAAAGGGCAGATAAAGCCAACGTAGTAGTGAGGGTCGATGTAGAAGCTCGTGCTGGCGATGTTAGGTCGTAAGGTACATTTGAGGCATAATTGTTGGGCACTAGGCCAAGTATTGGGTAAACGGACCCTTGTTTTGGGCTAGGAAGCATTTTTCTGGGAGAATGGTCTTTTTCTCTCATTACTAGCTAATCTACTAGATTTGATGTTCGGCTATCATAAATTTTGGCATTAAATTTATTATCTCAAATAAACTCAGAGAAGGAATGACGAGGCTTCATATATGAACAGTATCATGAAAATTCTGAAAAGAAACAATAATATGTCCAATTTAGTTGACTAAAGTTCATTATGCATAATAAGTGAAAGCATTATAGTTAAATACCACATCCCTTTGTGTTTCACTAGATCTAGGTGTGTATATTAAATTATTTTTTTAATTCAAATTTGGATCAAGTATGCTACTTGCCCCTTGAGCTGCAGATATCCCTAGGCAACGGTTGCGGTATTGCCATTTTTTAATATTTTTCTTCTAACGCTTACGCTTAATAACCGCCTCAAATTGCTGCTCCTGCTACGTCTCTTCCAACCAAAAAAAATCGTCACCTCATTCAAGGCATATGTTAGGTTTTTTAAAGTTTTTACCGCATTTCATGCTTTACACAATACATACATTTTTAGAAAAATTCATCTATGGCATTGTCTGTTCTTGCATTCGTCTTGTTTTGTTAACAATTATAAAATTTCTAATCAGTGTGAGTAAGGAATTGACTTAGTAATGCCTGTCTAGTTATCTGCTCATCTATTTATCTACGGCAACTTCGATTATCCTCATTTGATAATTCAAACTTTAAATTAAAGAAATCTATGAATTACAGAAAAGATTTAAAATTAAAATGCGGAAAATCTCCTTTTCTTTATAATAATCAATATAAATGAAGTAAATCACTTAAGAATGCGTTAATAAGAAATGAGCTGTGAAGGGAAAAAAATATTCATCGCGTAGATTAATTTTATGATGAAAATTCGTGTGACATGATTTGATACGGAAGCGTGCGTTGCAATGCATGTTAGTATTAGTCTCCCGGTTCACTAAAGATACCTGTGGACTTGGACTCTTTACGCAACGTACGCAACTGCTTGCGACCTTAAGTTTTGCTACAATTCGATTGCTTGATTATTGGAAGGATTGTTCGTTGGCGTTATGTTGCGTTGACGAAATGGAAATTTTGTTTAGGCGTCAAAAATTCTGTTATTAACTTTGACACCCCGATCACCTTCGTGCCTTTATGTACTTTGAATGACCAGTCACCTCAACAAATAATCACAGACTTCGACCCGTTGAAATATCAAAAGAATCTAAACAAAAATCAAGACACAACCTCATCTCAAAAATAAGTTGCAACATTGCAGTGGGACATGCGCTGTCATGTAATACGCTACACATTCCTACAGCTAATCATAACATAGCGACATTTCAAAACAACACATTATATGGGAAGTGGTCGATAAGGTGGTCCGATTCGTATCACATTCAACAGCGTTCATTCTTTAGCCAACCTATCTCCCATGTTCATCCTTTGAACCCAAGAAAACAGAACGCTTAGACAGACGAATAGAATGATAGACAGACAAGCAGGCAGCTAGACATGTTTGGCTCAATTGACAAAGTGATTCTGAACGAACTGATATAGTAAAAGGTGGGTGGGTCTTGATATATCCTTGTACCATAAGTCTTGTAGTAGTGTGTTTATCGGATCATCGAAGTGTATATCGAAGAATATATATTTTGGCCGTTGAGAATGGCATTTAGCTGCAATTGCCCGTTATTCTGTTTCTTCGCTTGGCGTTTTGCCTAAATTTTTGAAAAATGTGGAAGCATATATTAGTTAATTTTTACTTCCATTAAGTGGAAATTTTAATAAAATTGTTTGGTAATCGTGTTTGTTTTTTCAGTCTTTCTTTATTTATGTTCATATGGAAATATTTTAATTTCAACTAAGTTTGACTTTGTACGAATATGATTACCAATGACAGCAATCATGGACAACCAAAAATATAATTGACCGACTATATGATCTGGCAGCGCGTCAAAGCGCGTTAGGTAAAGAACAGTTGGAATTGGGAAATATTTTGGATAAGCCGCATTTTGCAACGTTCAAAATGTGTCCGAAAGAGGGTTCAGAGAAAAGTCATAGAGTACGTCAACGTCTTCCTACTTTGGAAATTTGCACAGTTGTCGAATTGCATAATATAGGGGAGGCCTTTCAATAGTTCACAAACCAGCTCAGTATTTTGCTTTAAATGGTTTTTTAATGGAGTTTTAAATAAAGATGAGAATACTGAAAAAAAATTGCATTCAAATTTTTTGTACTCAACGTAGACGTAAGATATTATTCCAAAGAGCATCTAGAAAAATTTGGAAATCTTTTGGATTATCCGATTTTTTTTGATATCTCTAGATTGCACAAAGAAGTTTGACAAAGTGAAGAATTTCTAAATAAATCGAAAATTTCTTTAAAAAAATAGAAAAAATTGAATGAAGAATTGAATATAGCAAGAAATGAATAAAGGAATGCGTGAAAGAATTAGTGAGTGAAGGATGAGTGAATGCGTGTTTGTTAAAGTAAGCATTCTTGAAGTGTGTGATATTTCCAATAAGAAAATGTGATAAACTAAAAAAAAAACTAGGACGAAGGTGATGACAGTATTTGGGTTTGAAAGAATGTTATTATTGTTATTATTATTATGTAGTTCGTCTTGCTTTTTGAGTGCAAGTTATATAAAGGAATGCTTTAGCTTCTATTGCATATTCATAAACTTGCAGTGTTACTCTTCTTAAATAATGAGAAAAAAAGTGTATGTATGTAAGATTGTCAGAAGATTTGCTTCAAATGAATTACTACTTCTATTACAATAAATAAGTGCAAAAACGAGTAAAATTAACGAAACGATAGAAACTTAAAGCTTAAAAATTTATTTCCTACATTATCGGTACCGTAGAGAGGAATGAGTGCATGTATGACCCGTGAATGTTAAGTCTACACAAAAATTTATTTATTAGTTATTATATATAAGCGCCCAGTTTGTAGAGTCGTTTAGTCGGTGAGCGACTCGCGTGCGCAAATTCAAATGATGGCGTTTTCGCAATCAAGCGTTGACAACGTCTCTCGGAGGAAGATTTATTAATTGCATTTATAAGTAACAGCGGGTTGTTTTTGTTTCTCCATTATATTTTATCCACATGAACGTGTATACCTCGCCAAGTTGGAGGTCATTAATTTGATCTCATACTATATGTAATTAGAACTGAATACGTTTTGTTTTGCCTTTTGTATGGGTGCGAATGCGATTGCGTTTGTTTCAGTTACTGAAGTAAGCCTCATTCTCAGTTGATTAAGTATTTAAGACTCTGCTAAGACCTTACGGACTTATTACAGCAGCTTGTTGTTTTTATTGTCGTCATTATGTATTATTATTTGCCTTAAATAATCTCTGTTAAGAGTATGCTTCTTTCTTTAACTTAAGTAAACGTTTTCGTTTAAGGCTTTTTTAAACAATAGAATTTTTGTTCGAATACGATTTATTTTTCTTTTTTTTTTTGTTCTTTTACTTCAATTGTCGTTTTTCCAGTGATGATCTTATGCAATCATAAATTTTTGTTGTACTTTGTTCTTCATGTATGATAATGACAAAAATTTAGATAGCGTTCAACTCTTTGTAAGGTCGTCTGCTTGTTTAAATGGTAAAAATTATTTCGTGCCCTACTCCGCTTCGCATGTACTTTACACTCGGCGGTTGATAAAATTAAAAACAGCTCAAGAGATACTTTTAACATAACTGCTAGAAATGATTTCTAAAATGTAAGACTAAGGATTGATTTTAAAGAACTCTTAAACTCTTCGTTATTACACAACGTCACAAATCGCCATACTGGTAAGCAAAGCCGATGCATAATCCACTAAGCGAGGATAGCGTTTTCAAACACTCTTTCATGAATTTTACGATCAAAACAAGCAAAAGCAAAGGGAAGACGGGGCAAGATGGATATGCAACATTTTTGTAATTGGTAGGTACATCGTCTTAGGGGCTTTAGCCGTAAATGACTAGATGGCTCCACGGCTAGATCGCTTTAGTAATTTATGCTTACCGATAAAGTTATACCTATTACATGGCCTAAGGTATTGCAGAACGTGTAGTCAAATTTCTACTTTTATCTTGTATTCGAGGTAATATAGCTAAGTTTTTCAGCAAATTGCACGCATTTGCACGCCTGATTTATGAAATTAGGTTTAAATGCTGAGAAACCGAACTACTGGAACAAATGGAAGAAAGGAATTACTGCCACTAGTATCGCGTCATCGCGAGAAACAATCTCTTTGCAGATTAAACGAAGCATAAAGGTGTGACCATACTGGACCATGTAGCAGCCTTTAATATCACTACGCATGCACTACACTCTTATCGCATTTCAGAGTCGTTTCACATTCAATACCTTAAATACGATGCAACCAACGCTTAGAAAATACTAAAGTGCTAAAATGCCCATTAAATAAGTGCTAAGAACTGGTGAAGAGATGGCTTTCACACAATGCGAGCAATCCATATCCCTATGCTTATTAGTTTATTCGAATAATCTGCAAAATTTTGTTGTCTTAACTCAGACAGGGTTAGTGAAAGTGAGTTGAGTTTCAACGTCCTGAAGGCTGAAAAACTTATAGTGATTATAATGTTACGAAAGCTAACGGAAAATTACTTTTATATTTGAATTAATTTTTCGGATGAATAGAATAACATTGTGTTGGATAAGTACCAAAAGATTCGAGTTAAATCGAATAAAAGGTGCCTCGCGTTTTTTTTACTGCTTTGCTCAATATCAGCCGAAGTGACGATATTGTTATCATCAAGACATGTAAATAAAACATAAATTCGGTTAAATATTTATGGTGGGAATAAGTCTCAAAGCAAAATGTGTGTGTGCAGCACCGGATGCCCCTAAAAAATAAAACATTGTTTTGCAAATGTTATTCCATTAGCATTCAAGAACTGTAAACACTAATACATGTACCGTTTAATAAAGAAAAAATCCCTTGTAATCATCACCTATTGCCGACAATTAATTTTGTCGAAAAGTTTGTTACACTTCGAGAGAAGCTTCAGAGACTGTATAAAGTATACATATTCTTAATCAATTCCAAATTGTAAATCGATCTGAGCACGTCCAGCCGTCCAAAAAAACATTATAATTTTGTTACGGAAATTCAGTTCATTCCGGATAATAAATTTTCCCAAATAACAAACTCC